GAAAAAGTTGCCAAGTTTAGATTTACCTGAACTGATTACGGTAGTTTCCGAATGGTAACTGTAACAGTAAAAATGCTGATCCTTCATGTCTGCTACTAGCATGTGCTAAATGAAAATGGGCATTTTCTTCTGTTTCTTCTTCTTCTGCTGCTTGTTCTTCTTTAGATTTCAACGGCAGTTTGCATCCATTATTGTTGCACTTCTGCCATCTACTGGATCCTAATATCTATACCTCAAATTCTCATAATGATCCCAGTATTATTAAAAAAAAAATCACATTGAGGGGGAAAAGAAGATTTTAACTGATCAACAACATTCTCAAATTTCAATTCCTTATTAAGACATAATTCTGTTTTAATGGGCACTTTCTTCTTAAAGAGCCCCTTGGTGGTTGAAGAAGAATCCACATATAAGTGGCTTACAGTCCGGAAAATACTGTATATGAATATATAGTAATATTTTGGGGGGCTATGTGAGACACATTCTTATTAAGATGGTCGAATAAATCCATCTAGCAAGTTCCTCAAGAGATGAATGCAAAAATGGGCAACGTACTTGGAGTGGAAAAAAAGAGAGAAAAGCAGTCACCGTTATTTAGCGAATAACCTCGTCTTACTTTTACATTCCATAACCAAAAACGTCATTTAAAAATCATGAGTAAAGATATTTTTAGTAAAACGAATGCTATCTCAAAATTATACCGTTTTTACAAGAAGATAGTTGTTCGCCAGTCTGAACTATTAACTATACTAATACTGCTATGTATTTTTTTGTATTTAAAAAATTGTTTATTGATTTACTTTACATTACCCCAGAGGCGCCAAAAAACCGATCACTCCAACTTCTAAGTCCAACCCGGGTCCAGGATACACATTCAGTGTCGGAGCAGAGAGAGCTTTGAATGGCTACAGAACAAAATGTCGCGCTTCGTGTTCCCATGATGCATTGAAAATACTGGAAAAATACCTGTTAAATATAAAAACGGTAAATTCCTTCAAATTTATATTGTACATTTACCCGTTTTTTTGTTTTTTTTACAGTGTATAGGCTACAGCAGGACGGCAGCAGATGTAGGGTCTTGATTTTGAAGGTAAATCAATGGGATTTTTAAGTTGAAATGCATTAGTTTGCAGAAACATATTGAAAGTTATGCAGTGTGTCCAAATAAGCTGGCTGATTGGAGCCTCACGGTCACCAAGAAGTGGGTTATTCTTGGTGACTCCAACGTGACCAGGATCCCGACCTTAAGATGTTACATTTTTGAATTGTATTAGTTCAAGATATGATACCTTGAACGAGACAGAATTATATGCAAATGAGAGTTAGGGCTTTTGTGATGGGTCTTGTCTCATTACATCAGTTTTCTTTTTTACCCTGCTTCCTAGGATCAACTGTCCTGCATGTCATAGGTGTTTCGTGTGTGCATAGAAAAAAATTCAACTTCCAGAAGAATGTTTTCAAAGTCTTTGAGGAGCTGAAGCGGATGGCTTTGGAAAACTAAAGGATGTTCAACCTTCCAGCCTCCACACCAGAAGTGTTGGAAGTCCTGAACCAAAATTGGAGTCAGGAGCTGTTAGGAAAAAAATTGGTATGTAAAATACTTTGAAAACTTAGCCTCTCTCTTCCCAGTGATCTTCTGTCCAGTGCAGTATTGTGTAAACATTGATTATGTTCGTTGCGTTAAGTTTTTTAAGTAGATGCCATTGCTGTCATTGGAGGAAAAGACTCGAGAGTTATAGTGTACCACATTTCCTCTTGAACCACCTAGCAGAGCAGTACAGCTGCCAGGGGAGGAAAGGGAAAAGAAGTCTGTCCCCAAGCAGTTGCTGACTGTCCCTTAACTTTTCGACCTAAAAAATTGTGCCACATTGGTTCTCAAGACATCCCTGTGTGAAGTCTGTGACTTCTGTGATCATATATTTCTTGATAATGCACACTTCCCTGTTTTTTAAAAAATAAATACTTTGTATGTCTATTCTTCAGGGGCTGTACAAAAGAACCAGGAATCAGAAACTCTAATGTACAGAAATCCAGGCCGTGGTGGGAGACTGGTTGAAACACTGAAATTATCGTAAAGACAATTGTGCTACGTCAGCAGCCACGGTAAATGACAGTGCCAATGAGGACGAGGCTTCGTAAAGTAGAATATTTTTTAGAAGACCGATCAACCTTCTTTATTTTTTTTTTCTTCTGTTTGTACCAAAACGCATTCCTCACCAAAACATTTTTTTTTTTTTAATTTTGAGTGTGTCAACGTTCATGACATCAGTTCTGTTTTAAATTATATTTTTAAGCAGTGGCTGACTTTGCCTTGATTTATTATTGTGAATGTCTTTTCTCTATTAAAATTGATACTGCACCATTTTATTAAATCTCTTTTTTGTACATATGTATAGTAGAATAAATGTGACCCTTTTTATCATATTTTGTTTTGGTATTGTTTAATGTTAATACTCTAAAATTAATAAATTATTTCCCAAGTGTGTAGGTGTAGTTGTAATAAATTTTCCAGTTTACCAGATTAGATTAATCTCCCAAATGAAAGACAGCTGTTTATTCCAATAAAAATTGCTGCCATATTAGTATTTCCACAGGCCTTGCAGAACTATATATATCATTTTACTGTAATGTACTGCAACTGTTTACTGAAAGTCTGCTGAATGTGCGCCGACAACGTTCGCTAAACGTTTAATGCCGTTTCATTTTGGAGAACGTTGTCTGCAAACGTTCATGACGATGTTCAGAGGATGTCTGAACGTTAATTGCTTCCTGGGTTGTTTTGAGTTGTATGAAATAATTGTTTTTATTCAAGATATCAGTGCCGGGGGAAGATTCAATATCAACATTTGGGCAGTTTAGAGAAACGGCCTGACGTAGGCTGTCCCCTCGCTGCGATATGTCTGCTAGTCCACCGTAATGGCAGTGGTAAGTTTGCCTTATGAAACAATGAAACTGGCTTTTTGTAGTTTCATAGACATGCTTGTATGTAGTGAGGATATAAATCAGTACATATATACAGTAGTAGTAGTGAGCTGCTATTCACTACTACTGCTTATGGATTGTGACTGAGTCTGTTGGCAGAAGCCTGTTAATCACCCAGAGATACAATTCAGGTGTGTGGCAGAAGGGAAATACCTAAAACATGCAGGACAGGGGGGCGGTGAGGACCAGGGTTGAGAAACACTGGTCTAGGGGACAGGGGCTTAGACCAACGAATGTCTTAGACATTCCCCTCGCTCCGAATTTAATTGGTCAGTATTTGTAGACGTGGCAAACACAGACTGAACGTCTTCGCTCACTTCCTCCGCTGCCACAGCCAAACTACAATTCTAAAATAGGGCAGGAAATCAAGATCATGCACAATTCCTTTTGTTCACAATTCTCTTTGATTCCATATAATGTTTAATCAATCAGAACCACCACATTTACATAAGTTCCTGAAGCCATATGCCGCCACACGTTCAACGATCAGTGCAAGACTTTGCGTTGTTCCCATAGAGTCTTGGCAATACCTTTAATTTTGTTTAAATAATTTTTTAGTTAAGTTTGCACATCATTTCATCCTACCTGAGAGCACAAAACCCACTAAATATCGTGAATAGCTTAAAAGACTGAGATACTCCCAAAAGCTTATCAAGAAGAAAAAATGAATAAATTATGAATGGAAAACTTAAAGACACCAGACTTTATACAGCTGAAGTATTCCACATTTAAAGTCTAAAATATATTTTTTTCTGCAAGAGTTTGCTTTAGTTGGAGCTTAAAGCTCAGTTACACATTCAACCTGTTATTTGTGTGTGTGTGTGTGTGTCAGTAAGTGTTGATTAGCGTTTCAGGTATTGAGTCTGTTGAACAGAAGTAAGGCTCACCCCAAAGTGATGAGTTTGTTTCATGGGTTTGTTGTGAAATTTTTTCTTAAAGAGTGAGGAAAAACAGTTTCAAAACCCAAAGAACCAGAGAGAGAACATATTCTTAATCAGCATTTATTTGAAGTCTCTGCTCACTGATCGCAGTCAGGAGAAAGAGCCCTGAGCAGAACACAGCTTACAGTTTCATTGTGATCTCATAGTTTGACAATCTACTTGGTTACATAACAGACAGCAGGCACATGTATCTTCTTCACTACGGGAGTCAAACACGCCATGAGGGCACATAGAAGAAACAATTTAATAACTTTATTGTAATACCAAGGCCTGAGAAGTATCTTCAGAAGACATTTTCATGAGCACCTGAATTACACAAGAATTATTAGACTGTTATGCATTGTTTTACTTATAATCATATGGTAATCTTAAAAAGTTCCACTACAGGTTCAATTAAGTAAGAAAAATAAAAAAAAATGTCTGACAGGACAGCTCTCAGACATGAGACGTAACACCAAAGACTTCCGTTTTTTAAGATTTATTAAGCTTTTTTTTTTTCTTCAATATCACAACATTTCATTTGGGGTGAGTAGATTCACAGCTACTGCATATTTTGCATGAAAAAAAATCCATGCACACATGAAACACCATAAAGAAAAGGTAATCTAAAAGATTTAAGTAAAAAGTAAACATTTCACTTCAAAAAATTGTTTAAAGTCTGAAGTCATTTTTCATATTCTGTATTATGTATAATTTCTTGCCAAAATTAAAACTCAGTGTTTTTATACATTTATATAAACCAGCAACTTAATGAAAAGAAGCTCAACTGGGAGCGGGGGGAGTTAATATTTGGAACAGATGAAGTTAAATCTCTCACTGCCGTTTCTTTGGAACCACCGATGTTCTCCTCCTGCCTCCATGGCTCCAAACATGTTACAGTCATTCTGTTCATTCCAGGTCCAGTTATCACAGACCCAGAACCAAACATTCCTACTGCAGTTGAAACGCAGTCCAATCCAGACAAAAGGAGTCGAGGCAAACTGGGCTTCCTGCTGAACCTGTTTCTGTTCATCCATGTTAGTGATGGTGACCAGGTCATGATGGTGGGCTCTGCAGTAGGTTAAGGCATCATGCCAGTTCATCGCTTCTTTAATCATGATCAACTTATCTGGCATGAAAGTATGAAATATAAAGAATAAAACTATGAGTCATTCAAAAGAGGTTCAAAACTGCCTAAAAGAAAGGAAATTTAGTCAGCTTCATGCTAAATCGCCTGAAACTGACTGTAATGTTGATATTTTTTAAAGATGTATAACTAAGAATGTGGCGTTTTATTTGACACATACTGATATGTTTTTAAAAACTCACCATCATAACAGATGAAGGGTTTTCTTTCAGTACAGTTCTCATTCTTCCATCTGCCTCCATCATCAAACACAGTCATGGCACATTGACCACTGATGTATTGTTGACTGATAAAGTCTTTATTCCAGTATCTGAAAGAGAAACTGCTTCCATCTGACCACCTCCAGGTGTCTCTGAACAGACCAATGTATACTGGTTTTTTGTCATATATTTTTTCATATTGTGCCTTCTTGTTTACAGTCATATACTCTTCATCCTGTAGCTGCTTCAATCCACTGATCAGGTCTGTGTGATTCTCTCTGCAGTAACTCTGAGCTTCCAGCCAGGTCTTCCTCTCTTCAACAAAATAATATTTATTGGATGTATCATTTTCTGTGAAGTAAACAAAGTTGGTTCACTTTATATCAAACAGAAGCTGAATGAGCCCCGTCTACAATGGCCTCTTAAAAAAGATGGACATTTGGATAAATTAATTTAATTAATAAAGGCCTTTTCTTAATAAATAAAAAATAGATATTTGATTTAAAGCTTATTTCCCTAATTGTGAAATATTCGCTCGTTCACGATAGATGGAGTAGAGCCCAAATGCAGAACAGACTGAGGCAGGAAGTAGGCAGTGAGATTTGAATAATACAAAAACAAAATAAACAAGAACTTACAAACAGGGAACAGGGTAATGGGAGGAACCAGCAAGGAGTGAGAGGAGAAGTTTTAAATTCTGGGAGAGTGAATGCAGGAATAATACACTGGAGCTGATTGGTTAAGAAATTGCAGGTGTGATGGGAGAGAGAGGGAGAGAAGAAGCTAACTAAAAACAACTGAGATAATACTGAACTAAAGTAGAGCAGAAACAAGGCTGATCTAATCAAAATAAAAGTAAGTAATGCAAATAATAATTGAACCAATTAACAAACCCTGAAAAATCCAAAGCAACCAAAATCCTAACAAGTACCTCATTATCACATAAAACAATCTTTGTTGATTTTTCCCCCCTTCTTTTCTACAGCTAAGAAATTGTTTATCTCAATCCCTCTTTGTCAATATGAGCTCTGATTTAGTTTTATATATGCATATGTAAAATCTCAAAAGCACCATTATAACAGAGGAAATATGAATGCCAACTACATTCATTAGATGTCAGTTTTCCTCGAAACATACATATATGTGTTCAGTTGGTAGAGCTGTTGCCTTGCAGCAAGAAGATTCTGGGTTGATTCCCTGCCCGGGTTCTTTCTGCATGGAGTTTGCATGTTCTCCGTGTGCATGGTGGGTTCTTTCCGGGTACTCCGGCTTCCTCCCACAGTCTAAAAACATGACTGTCAGTTTAATTGGTCTCTCCAAATTCTCCCTAGGTGTGTGTGTGTGCATGGTTGTGTGTCCTGTCTGTCTCTGTGTTGCCCTACAACAGACTGGCGACCTGTCCAGGATGACCCCCCCTCTCACCCGAAACGTTAGCTAGAGATGGGCACCAGCACCCCTTCTGACCCCACTAAGGGACAAGGGTTCAGAAAATGGATGGATGGATATATATATATATATATATAGTCTACAATGGCTTCTTGAAAAAGATGGAAATTTGGATAAATTAATGTAGTTGCTTTAGGCCTTTTTTAAACAAAAAAATAAATAAATACATATTAAAATTTATTAAAAGCTTATTTCCATAATTGTGAAATTTTCAATAGCTTAAATAAAAGCACTGTCATGTTGGTAGATGGAGTACCACCCAAATGCAGAACAGACTGAGGCAGGAAGTAAGCAGTGAAATTTTACTAAAAAAATTAAATAAATAAACAAGAATTTGCAAAAAGGGAATAACTAGGAAAAGTATAATGAGAGGAGAAGAGGTTTTTAAATGCTGGCAGAATGAAGCTGGAACAATAGACTGCAGCTGATTGGTTAACAGGTTGCAGGTGTGATGGGAGAGAGAGCAGAGGACAGGATGAGAGAGAGAAGAATCTAAAAATACCTGAGATCGAACTGAACTAAAGTAAAGCAGAAACATAAACCAGTAAAGCTGATCTAATCAAAATAAGACTAACTAAGGAGAGCAGATAACAAAAGAACCAATTAACAAACTCTGAAAAATCCAAAGCAACCAAAATCCTGACAAGCACTTTATCGCATAAAATCAATCTTTGTTTTTGCTTTTTTTTCCCTTCTTTTCTAAAACTAATACATTAATACGGTTGTCTCAATCCCTCTTTGTCAATATGAGCTTGTTTTATGTGTGTGCATTTGTAAAATCTCAAATAAAAGCACTTTACCATTATAACAGAGGAAATACAAATGGTGACTACATTCAGTAGATCCCAATTTTCCTTGATAATTATATCCACAGTCGTTTCCATCCCTTGGTTCTCCTGTGTTCCACTTTGTCTCACTTTCATTAAACTCCACTCCAGGCAGAGACCAGTACCAAGTTCTGGTACCATGTGTTTGATCATACAGACCAATCCAAGCTTCCTTAATTTCTCCAGCTGAGATGTTGATGAGTCTCTCCATGTCCTTCATGTTAGTCACTGTGACCAGGTCAGTGTGTTTCTCTCTGCAGTACTGCTGAGCTTCAGTCCAGGTCTTATTCTCATTAATGTAGAGAAACTGATAGAGCTGACAGTCCATGAAGCAACACTGAGCTGTAGACAGTAAACACATTTCTGTATAGACGAACGAGCAGTGGCAGTTTAACCAACACATCTTTTACAGTAATATGATTTATCAATTTGAATTTGTGTGTTACAATTGTACTTCCTGGTTGATTATTCACTAAGTAGCAGTGTTCTGAATCTGACTTTAACATAATAGAAACCAGAGAGTCTAGTTGTGTTTCAGATCAACTTACCCATCAGGAAGAGCAGAATCAGACTCCACTGCATCTTTGCTGTCAGATGAATTATTTTCCTCCAGCAGTTTGTCTCTGTTGGATGAAGAACATTTAAACAGTGAAAAGCTGCAGCTCTCCCTCCACTATCGACAGAAAATGTTCTGCTTATCCTAATGTTTAATCCCAAATAAAACTATATGACACACTATACATGACAAAACATGATTTTAGAAGTAAAGTTTATGTGTAGTAAATAAACTAAAACAAAGCACAGTTGTAACTTACATCTGGTTTCTTTTCTCCTCTTTTTGTCTTGACTTAATCTGTTCTCAGTAGAATTACAGTTTTTCTTTGGTGGCAGCCAGACGTTTTCTAACACAGCTCTGATATAGAACTGAAAATTTAAAAAGTCATAATTTGGATATTCAAATCACTAGTGGGGAAGTAACAGCTGTTTTATGAAAGAAATCATTTCTAATCCTCACGAGGAAAGTTGGTGTTGGGGAAAAACCAAACCTCTATTTATTGGATTTAGCTAAACACACAACGTATTGTCTCACAGATGTTAATGTGGTAATGTGGCCTCGTTTTCCTTTTTTTTAGTTAATTTCATGTTTTGTATATTTGCTGTTTTGGATTTGATTGTTATATTTTGAAGTTATTTACTTTTCCTATTAGATTTAGTTTGGGTTAATTTCTTGGTTTGTTGTGTTATTCTGATTTTGTGTTTTGCTCTTGAGGTGACGTTGCCACTCACACCCAGAGACGCCTGCTGCAGCAGCACAGATGTTCTCCATTAGCTAAGCAGTGTGCAGCCCGGGAAGCCAGTAATAAAGAGGTAGCTGTGCAGTTGAAGCGAGAGACGGAGCTGGACAGACCACAGGGGCAACAGAGCGGCGGGATTGGAGGACTAGAGGACTGAAAGCCGCAGAGATTCATCCCACTGGTCGCCATCGGGGAACGGACGATTGGGTGTTGGAGGAGGAGCCGCCAAGATTCGCCCGTGGCCGCGGAGGGCCCTGTTGCTGGGTGCCGCTTGGCGCCGGAAAGGACCCCGCCCCCCTTGGGCGAGATAAGGCTCCATTCTTCCTCATACAGACTGATCCATTGGCTCTGCCGTACCTGCGTGCCCTGCATCCTTTTTTTTAGTGACTCATTTTTAAATAAATGATTAACTTTCATCGGCTCGTTTTTAAAACCCTGATCACAGTTCCTGTAGTTTTAATTACATTCTAATAGACCACTCGGGTCCCACATTCCAGTTTGTCTTTTTTCCCTTCAAAGTAGGTTTTTTCTGTTTGAACTTTTGTATGTATATATAAAACATGCCAACAGTGCAAAAAAAGTTTAAACATAGCAAAGTCTTGCACTTTTATACATTTTTCTATTTTTTTTTATTTTCTTATGTTTTTTGTTGTTTTTTGCTGTTTATATTTTTCAATCTTATACCTATTTTTAAAGAACACCATTCCCACTGTAAACTTTAAACCCGTCATCTAGCAGTTTGTCTTTTTAACCCTCACCAGCATACCAGATAAGATACTGGTTTCATACTTGCATGTATTAAAAAATATAAACACCAAGTCCTATGTTGCCATATGTGATTATATAATATGTAATTTAGTTTTTACAGTTATTAATGTCATATCAATCAATAAAATTGTCATAAAAGCAGATTTCCATTAACATTTTAAGCATAATAAATATACAATAACTGTTAACAAATATTGTAAATTACAACAAATATGCAATAAATACATAAATAACTCACACATTCACATATGTGTATAAGTCCATACATATGTTTAGTTTTCAATAATTATTCATTGTTGTGAATAATTATTTTCCGTGTTTTGAAGAGGTGCCATGTTTTTGGCTACCAAAAACATGGCTTTTTTTTTTTTTTTTTTTTTTTTTTTTTTGTTTTTCAGCAACCATCTTCAAAGTGATTGCTCATCAAATTCATGTTCTAATAAATTTCTGAAGTAGATTTTTTTAAAATAAAGGAATGGCACACTCCCAAATGTTTTGGTCTTACATTCAATAGTCCATCTTTCCATTAAAATGAAAACTAATGTAACAGTTAAAGACTATTCTCTTTAACATATTCTAAATCTACTGAAATCTACAAACGGCTCCATAACATGTTCAACATGTTGGATTCATATCTAGAGCTGTTACAGTGCAGAAAAGATTTTATTTGCAGAAAAGATTTTATTTAATCTGCTCCTTTTTATTTTTACTTCCAAGCCTTTTATCTTTTCGCCATGATCTTTTTATTAAAGCATGCAGGTTTAAAAATTCTTTTTCAGGAACTCATCACAACATGGCTCCTCTATTGGTCCTTTAACATAATTTTTACCAGCGTTGCCCTGAGAAGTAGCTCATGCTGTTCCAACAGGCGTTTGCTAATTACTGCACATCTGCTGAGCTAGTCTGAAGGAGCTGAGTGAAGGTGCGGCGGGGGAGGGATGCTCTGTGAGGCAGAAGCTCAGACATTCCAAAAGTGGGAAATTAACTTGTCATCTCGAGAAACCCATAGTGCATGCGGGTAAAAATGTTCTCGGCTTCCTTACACATCTATTAATAGATTAATTTAAATGTTTCAGAACTTTAATATTTAAACCAACGGCAAGTTGCTGCTACACACTGGATTTGAACATCGATCAATGCACTGTCCAGTCCATCATGGAAAAAAAGGGGAAAAAGAAGGAAACATGACCTGTAAGGTTGGTGACCTGATCTAGTAGAGAAAATAAAATGTTGTATTTGTTTTATTCAAATATCAGGTATTCATGCCTCTCCAAAGCCAGACTTCCTCTGGGAAAATCAGATCACAATCTTGTTTTGACTCTGCTTTGCATATTAACCCCCTTGTTCAGAAGGAACCTGAGAATTAAAGGAACTGAGAAGGAAACTGATGAGACTGCGGTGGGTCATTTTGAGGTTGTAGACTGGGAGGCGCTGTGCCTGACACATATAGAGGACATCAGTGTCACCGTTGTATAAAACCTTTGTGTGGATAGCACCGTCCACACCAGGAAGGTGAGATTCTTTCACGATAAACTCAGAATTTGTCAGGGTTCTGCAGAAGCACTTATAAATATAAAGATATCCTCACATTTTTTTTCCAACCTAAGATGGCTAAAGTCACACACAGGCCTGTCACATTAGGTGTACATGATGAAAACATTGTCACTGCATTTTGAAGGAGGTTCACCTTGTTTAAATCAGGCTTTTAGTTTGGTGTGCTCCTAGCACTTGTGACTGAGTGAAAAAGATGATATCCGTAATGTGTTATATGTTAGCTCACTGCTAACCTTGTGCACACGAGGGCTGAGGCAAATGATAAAAGTGATATGAGTGTGGAGTCGGTCGAGCCCCACTCATATGCACAAAGGTTAAATGGAAGATGGTATCAAATAAAATATTTCAATCATAAATGCATACATCTGTCTCTTCAGTAGTTTAAAAGTACTGCATTTTATGCAAAATAAGAGTTTGTGCATGGCAGTGGTATTATTAGAACAACACTTTTGTGTTCAAGTTTGTTTAAAATAATGTTGAGTGCACAGCACTCAACATTATTTTAAAATCAATAAATTTCAGAAATAATTCAGCTATTTTTTTAAAGCTGTCAATAGTCCATCCATCCTTCACTCAGTGTGTCACACCAGAAATACCAACATATTGGATCTACTGTATGCCAACACCAGATTTTATGCATTTTGATCATTGCTAACATTTAAAGCTGTGCCAAACGTTTTATTTAAAAGAGCACATTTTTCATATATTCATAAAAGAAACTCAAATACCACATACAGTAACTATCTTTACACTTCAAATATATGCAAATCATTAATGTGTGCAGAACATAGGAGGAACATGGAGGTATGACTATATACCTTCTCTATAAACCTCTATATACCAACGGCTAGTCGCTGCTACGCACTAGATCTGGACATCGATCAATGCACTGTCCAGTCCATCATGGAAAAAAAGGGGAAAAAGAAGGAAACAACTGTGACCCTATTCATGCCTCTCCAAAGCCAGACTTCCTCTTGGAAAATCAGATCACAATCTTGTTTTGACTCTGCTTTGCATATTAACCCCCTTGTTCAGAAGGAACCTGAAAACTAAAGGAACTGAGAAGGTGGTCGGTTCCTTTAATGTCTCTTTCTCATATATTTGAGAAAGAGACATGTAAAATGACATATCAATTACTTGTTATACAAAATTATCATTACATTTTTGTTCTCCAAAAACCTCTTAGTGCTGAGTGTTTGGTAGGAACGTTGTTTAAAACAGCTAATAAATGTTACTCAGTATGAAATGTGCATAAGAACCGCAACAAGCCTTCACAAAATTATTGTAAAATCCCCAGGCAAAACTAACCAACCAGTTCCTGTTGATCAGGGTTTCTGCATATTACAAAAATCCCCAGGTTTTTACTTTGGTGCCTCTGGATCAACATCAACCAGGCAAAACTGTTGGCGTCGCTGAGGTCACTGAATATTCTTGTCTTTTTGTTTGTGAACCAATGGCAGACCTGTTTACTGCTTACTTGCATGACCTTATGATTTTATCAAATATTCAGAGCACAATAAAAGAGCTAAACAGGCAACAGGCAAATTTAAGGAGGGAATATAATGAAAATAATCTGCACCTTTCAAAGAAGCCTTTTATCAGCCAGAACTTCAGAAACAAGGAAACGGGATGGTGGAAGAAAAAACTAAGGCCGTAAAACATAAAGATGGAGTTTGTAGCAATTATTGAATTGATTAATAAATGAGAAAGAAAAAAAAGAGGTCTGACTCTTTTTTCTGGCTCAATCAAACAACTTCCGTGGACCAGGTCTCTGAAAACCTTTAGAATCCAAAGAGCAATTTTTACCCTCTGTTCAGCTAAATAAAATCCTTTTAGAGCCACAAATGAAACACATGACTTTGTTTAAAAAATAAAATAAATAATAATAATAATAATAATAATAATAATAACAATAATAACAATAATAATAACTAATAACTTGTAATTTTTAAATAAATACATACAATGTGAAATGGGACGCCGCTGAATTTACACATTTCCTGCTCAAGAAAATCCGGTGTGAGGCAGTGCAGTGTTGTTCCTCACCTCTGGTGGCGCTGTGTCACACATAGTGAATGAAGCAGTTGGAGCATTCTCAATGCTGGCTCTCATATACTCGCTGGCCACTTTATTAGGTACACCTGTCCAACTGCTCATTAACGCAAATATTGAATCAGCCAATCACATGGCAGCAACTCAATGCATGTAGGCATGTTAAAATGGCCAAGACAATTTGCTGCAGTTCAAACCGAGCATCAGAATGGGGAAGAAAGGTGATTCAAGTGACTTTGAACTTGGTATGGTTGTTGGTGCCAGACGGGATGGACTACAGGGATTTTTCACACACAACCATTTCAAGGGTTTACAGAGAATGATCCGAAAAAGAGAAAATACCCAGTGAGCGGCAGTTCTGTGGGCGCAAATGTCTTGCTGATGCCAGAGGTCAGAGGAGAATGACCAGACTGGTTCGAGCTGATAGAATGGCAACATTAACTCAGATAACCACTCGTTACCACCGAGGTATGCAGGAGAGCATCTCTGAATGCACATCAAACATGTGAGAAAATAGAGGTATGACTATGTTTGCAGAAACTCCATAGGATATGTCAATGCACATATTTGAGAAAAAGATATGTAAAATGGCATATAAATAACGTATTACACAAAATTATTGTTTCATTTTTGTTCTCCAAAAACCTCTTCACCTCCAAAGTGCTTGGTAAGAACTTTATCTAAAACAGTGGCTCCGCAGTGCTAAACGTGTTCAAGAGCCACATCGACCCTTCAGAATTTTACTGTAAAATCTCCAGGGGAAAATAACCAACAGGGTTTCTGCATATTACAAAAATCCCCAGGTTTTTACTTTGGTGCCTCTGGATCAACAACATCAACCAGTCAAAACTGTTGGCGTCACTGAGGTCAACGAATATTCCTGTTGTTTTGGTTCACCTTGTGTGCTTTGTTATTTGAACCAATGGCAGACCTGTTTGCTTGCATGACCTTCTGATTTTATCAAATATTCAGAGCGCAAGCAGAGAGCTAAAACCAACATGCTAATTTAGGGGTTGAGGAGGATATAATGAAAACTAACTACACCTTCCAAAGAAGTCTTTTATCAGCCAGCGCTTCAGAAACAGTGAAACACATGGGAGATGGAAAAACTACAGTAGAATCTAGCCATTTTTCTACACAAAATAAATAGATTTCATAATAAAAAAAATGAGGACTGAGTCGTTTTTGGCTAAATCAAACAGCCTCTAGACGAGGGCTCCGAAACCTTTTTACCTGCAGCAGTTTTCACTTTGTGTTCAACTAAATAAAACAAAGTTAGAGCTACAAATGTAACACGTGACTTTGTTGAAAAACAGTAACCTAACATTTTAATCAAGTAACAACTTTTAGTTGTTAAAAATGAATCAAATACGACTTAAAATAAATTTTACTTTGTAATGTGACGCCATGAAATTGGGTCTCTGTCTCTTTAAGAACTGCTCTTTCTAAAACTCAGCCTGAAGGAAGTCATCACAACATTCCTACTCTATTAACCCTTTAACAACATTTTTACCAGCGTTTCAGTGAGAAGTAGCTCATATGAAGAGCTCAGCAGGTGTGCGGTTCCACCAGGTGTTTGCTAATTGCTGCTGGCTAGTCTGAAGGAGCTGAGTGGGGCAGATGAAGAGGAGGGCTGGTCTGTGAGGCAGAAGCTTGGAAACTGCGGCTCAGAGGAGATGAAGGCAGAGCTAGGTTCATATATGTGTTTTGCACAGCTCAGTGGTTGCCATGGGAGACTAATGGATTTCTCAAACATGCATGAAGGAATGAAGGCAACACTCCAGGTATGCTTCTGATGAGGGAATAACATTATGACATGATGTAAGGCTTAAAAAAGTTGAGTTTGTACTGCCCCCTTAACAAAGAACATATTTTGATTATAGTGAATCTCATTATAAGCAGTTCCTAAAATATTAAAGTGTTTATTCTTGTTCTAGTGAGTTTTGTGTCTCATCATGAAGAGAATGTTTTCTCGTTTAAACAAGATACTGCTCCTGAATTTATTTCTAAGCTGTGGAAGTTGTACACTTTCATAAGTTCCTGGTTTTTGAAAGAAAGAAAAAGAGTTCCTGGAGAAACCGAGATGTGCCCATGGAGAGCAGACTAGCAGCAGAGAGAAAACCCTCACTGAAATATGAACAGAACAGAAGAACTGCACCACTGTGCATGACAAAGTGAGATAAGATTATTATTCATGTTTTATTTCAATAACAGAGAATACAGGCAACAAAAAACTAAGCAAATGCTTTTGGATACACACACACACACACACACACACACACACACACACACACACATTTTTAGTATGGATCCTATGCAATGTTTTGTGAGAACAAAGATCACCAAATAACTAAGAAACGTTCTACAGAGTGCATTGGTTAGAAAGCATACGTCTCTGCTGAATTAATCGAAAATGTTGTTTAGAACATTTAGCAATTGTGGATAATTACTTTATCTTCTAATTCACTTAAAACTGATATACCTTTTTTTCAAAGAAATATTTACGAAGAAGCACAGAATGGATTTCACTCTTTAGAACAGATGAAATTAAACTTCTCAGCATCATTTCTTTTGGACCACTGATGGTTCCTTTTCGTCTCCATGGCTCCAGACATGTCACAGTCATCCATCGGTTGACCTTTGGCCCAGTTCTCATAGCTGACCATCTCATCACTGACCCAGAACCAGAAATCCAGAGTCCAGGCGTAGCTCAGTCCAATCCAGACATAATCAGTCGATGCAAACTGGGCTTCCTGCTGGACTAATCTCTGATCCTCCATGTTGGTGATGGTGACCAGGTCATGGTGATGATCTCTGCAGTAGTACAAGGCATCCTCCCAGGTTTTATTTTCTTTAATCAGGATCAATTCATCTGTATAAGGAAGCAATGAGGACAATGAAAGTATTTGTATAAGCAGCCATGTCACTTCAGGTGAAAAATACTTTTAGGGACCTGGAATGTTTTTTTTTACTCTTAATTAATCAGAATTAATTTATCTAAAATTAAGAATAAGAAATCATCCCAAAAATATTTTTGATTAAAGCTGCTACTGAGAACTTAAATTGGCGGACACCATGTTCCCTTTAAAGAATTGGAAAACTCACCATCATAACAGATGAAGGGTTTTCTTTCAGCACAGTTCTCATTCCTCCATCTGCCTCCATCATCAAACACAGTCATGGCACATTGACCATTGATGTATTGCTGATTGTTAAACTGTAGATTCCAGTGTCTGAAGGAGAAACTGCTTCCATCTGACCACCTCCAGGTGTCTCTGAACAGACCAATATATAATTGTGGAGGGTCTGCAGAGTTCATCAATTTCTCCACTTCTTCATCCTCTATCTGCTTCGTTCCACTGATCAGGTCTGTGTGTTTCTCTCTGCAGTAACTCTGAGCTTCCTGCCAGGACTTCTCCTCTTTAATCAAGTGGTATTTCTTGGATGTGTCACTTTCTGTGAAGTAAACACAGTTGGTTCATTTGACATGACCAAAAAGAACCAATTATCAAACCCTGAAAAATCCAAAGCAACCAAAGATCCTGACAAGCAACTTATTTTCAAACAAAAAATAAATAAAATGTTTGTTTTTCCCTTTTCTTCTCTAAAGCTAAGAAGTTGTTTATCTCAAGTTCTGTTTATTAATACAAGTTTTGATTTAATGTGAAATATATAAATATGTATGTGTGCATTTGTGTGTGAATAAAATCTCAATGAAGCACTTTGAGCTTACCACTATAACAAAGGAAATGTAAACCTTGACTACAATCAATAGATATCCATCTCCATCTGAGGCCTTTAAACAAATGTCCACAGTTCTTTCTATCCTTTGGTTCTCCTGATATCCAGTTTGTCTCACTTTCATTGAACTCCACTCCAGGCAGAGACCAGTACCATGTTCTGGTACCATGTGTTTGATTATACAGACCAATCCAAGCTTCCTTCATTTCTCCAGCTGAGATGTTGATGAGTCTCTTCATGTCCTTCATGTTAGTCACTGTGACCAGGTCAGTGTGTTTCTCTCTGCAGTACTGCTGAGCTTCAGTCCAGGTCTTATTCTCATTAATGTAGAGAAACTGATAGAGCTGACAGTCCATGAAACAACACTGAGCTGTAATTTGCAATTAAATATGATTAGAGCTGTTTTCATTAACATTTAATTGTAGTCTAGTTGTGTTTCAGATCAACTTACCCATCAGGAAGAGCAGAATCAGACTCCACTGCATCTTTGCTGTCAGATGAATTATTTTCCTCCAGCAGTTTGTCTCTGTTGGATGAAGAACATTTAAACAGTGAAAAGCTGCAGCTCTCCCTCCACTGGACAGAGAAACAATGAGAGCAGAGTGACCAAGATAGACAGAATAAAAAGTTTGTATCTCCACTTTCCAATATTTTTTGTGAAATGAGATGTATCTAATCTATTTCGTTCACCTTATAGTCTATGTCAAACTAAAATAGGTACAATTTAATTCTACAGCTTTTTCTACAATTAGTATTGGGAACAAAATTTAATTTGAAATCAAACAAAATAAGTTAAAACTAAGCAAAGAGCGTAAATAAACTTACATCTGGTTCTGTTTGTTTAATGTCTTCAAACAGGAAGTCTCCTCTGAATGTCCTGTTGAAAACTGTCCACAGAGGAAGTCTGCAATGGGAATTTTATATCATTTTGCTGTCAATATTTAAATACTGCAAACGTAGGATAGGGGGTGGTGCTCTTCAAAATGCCAAACTTGTTTCTCTTGAATAAAGTTATTTTAAATCTGTTCATGACCAGAAAGCAAGAACCACTGGGTTTTTTTCTAACCTCTGTAGGTGGAGGGGAAAATGTTCTAGTGACACAACAAAACTAACTTTGTTTGAAGACTGAGAGACTGTTTTATATCATGATGCTGCAAAACATGACACTTTAGCAGTCGTTCAGGAAAAATGTGTTTTTCGTTAATTACATTTATACATTTGGAGCTTCAGTGAGACTTAGTTTTTCTGTGTTTGAAACAGTGGTTGGACATTTTATTTTTTTAATGTATTATTTACTCATTAATTTAAAACTTTATTTTTTTTTATTTCCTGTTCATCTTTCATTACCTTCATTGCAGGTGTGCCTGGTCTTTTCCTGGTTTGCAGTCAGGGTTTGGCTCAGTGACAGGTCTATTTCTGAATGCAACTTGTGTTTGGAGCCTATGTAAATCGGTAGTTCTGGAGAAAAAGTTCCCAGTGTAAATTCTCCCAAAGAAAGGCTCAATTGTGTCAGTGTACCAATGAGTTTAACTTTAAGGACGTATATGAACCATATCTTTTTTTTCCCTCTTTTTTTTTTTTTTTTATATGATCATCAATAATTGACATTCTGTTGGGTTAGAAAATGCAGGCTCCGGTAAAACTGTATTGCGTTATGATTAATAAGATAACAAATCCCAATGATCTATACATGTAAAACATTATCGTCCTGAAAAATCCTTTTAAAAATGTGTAATACATCTCTGATCACAACAAAGCTGATCATATTGGCTGTTTCTGAATACGTGTCCTTGTCAGAGTCAGTTGATGTTATGGTTTACTGTAATAGAGGTAAAAAACAAATAAAGAACCAGGTTGACAATATGAAGGATGTGCTTTGATGGATAAGGATCCATCCAAGGATGAATCCTTATCCATCCTTGGATAAGGATGGATGCACCTAAAGGATGGACCTTTAGGTGCATCCTAAAGGTCCATCCTAATGGACCTTTAGGATGTCTTGAAGTGGTTAGTTGTGATGAGGATGAGGATAAACGTGGTAAGACCCAAGGTAAGGTGAGATAATGAGTTTAACAATGTCCACAAGCCAGTTGCCAGAGCCGGGTCCTACAGACAACGACTAAACAATGCTAAAGAATGAGTCAAAAATGACTAAGGGTCCAGCGGGGAACAGACGACACAGGTAAGATTAAATACACAGGAGAAAATCAGAGAACAAGAGACACCTGGATACAATTAAGGGCAAGACACAACATGGGGCCTAAATAAATCAAAGCACACACAGAGAAACCTGTAGATCCTCACATCACCAATCTACCCTTTTAACAAGAGTCACTTGTGAAAATTGATGCTAACTTTTCAAATGAACAATTTCTGTATGAAATCGATCTGCTCAACCAATCATGACTCCACATGTCCACTTTCCAACTAGCTATAAACAGCTACTTATAGTTAGTTATACAGTGAATAACCATTCAGGGAGGGCACTGCTACAAATTCCTACTTGATGAACTTCAGTTGAGCGAAACCACACAATGAAACTCCAAAGCCTCGGATCATTAGCCTTTCTGTCTTAACCCTTGTGCGTGCGAGGACTGAGGCAAATGATACAAGTGATACGGGTGTGGGGTCGGTTGGACCCCATTTGTAAACACAAGGGTTAAAATGAGTTCTGAATAATCCACAACAAAATTCACCAACAGAATCCAGAGAAGAAATGCAAAAGTCTGTCTCAAAAAAACATGCTCAAGGTCAAAGGGACATGAATTCAGAATGCTAATTACTTAAATAGAACACATGACGCGAAGGTTGAAGCAGAAAAATGGTACAAATAGAGATACTTAAAGAAATTTGGTGAGAAAGCTTCTGGCACGTTTTAAAATATGGCGTTTTAAATTTGGTGTCATTTCTATTTATGGCATTAAAGCTGAAAGCAAAATAAGACAGTGTAGCTTTTTATGATTTTGAATGTTAACCAGTGGTTTGCATTTTGGATTATCTGCTAACTCATTCAAAGATTAAAGCCCAGCACGATTCATACCTCTGGCAGATTTATATTTAAATTAACTTGTGTTTTTATCTGACTGGAAACAACAATAATGTTTCTGAATGGCTCATCTGGAGTTCAGTTCAGATAAAGGATGTAATGAGGGAACTAAAGATTAGGCTGATGTTGACTGCTGTGATGGCAATAAAGACTTTTGTATTGAATATTTTTCCTAATATTCCATTCATTTTAAAATTCAAATTAAGAAAATTGCTACATTTATTTATTTCCAAATTGATTCTCCTTTTGCAGTATTTTGTTATTTTTGTGTGATGCCTGTCTAATTTCCTATTAAAACAAATTTCATGGCTAGATGAAAATTATTAATTTGATATTTCTATAACTTGATATGGCTGCCTTCTTTCAGAGTTAAAATTTCAATGTTCCCAAATCATCACTAGCATGACCAGGTCACAGTCGTGACCTCGCCCATAAGATAAGGCAACGCAATGTTTGTAGATGTAGATGTATGTGCAGTGCATTTCTTGAGTTGAATTGAATCTGTTTAACATTGTAAAGTTATTTGATAAAAATTCTTATCACAACAAATTCAAATAAGTACAGATGGTTGATCCCTGAAATATGTTTTTTGTCTCTGGGTTTTAAAACTATTATGTTGAACTTTTACTTTAGTCTGTTTTGACCTTCCAAATGTATTTAATTTGTCAGAGAAACACTAAAAACCACCACGATGTAAGTCAAGCCAAGAGACTTCTTGAAACTGAATCTCTCTGGCCTAGTTGCTATAAAAAGCTGCTTGTTTATGTGGAGTAGCAATCTAATGCTGAAGAGGTGGAAGACAGATCTGCGTGTGAAAAGAGTTGGCCTTGAGATGAACATTTTATATTCATCAAGAGATTCAGCAAAGTTATAGATCCACCTTTGACATGGAGTTTACAAGACGTTACCTTCCGATGGAGTGGGAAGAGCGATGGAGGAAAGAAAAGGAGAGGAGGAAAAGAGTGATTGAAGAAGGTGGAGAAGGGTTAGAACAAGACAACCGTGAGTTGAGGCGAATTGTTGCTTACAATGATTCCAGGATGGGCCTAGCCAGTCAAGGAGATAAAACTAAAGCGTCTGAGGTGAGAAAGACTCAAACTAGTAAGGACGATGCCGGTGGACATATCAGTGATGAGGCTTTTGAGGATATGGACCATCATGTCTACACATTCTCAAGCAAAACCTTTCCTAAAGAGATATTTATGACTCTTAAAGAACTGCAGGTTTCCTCTATTCTTACAGACCTGACTCTGACTGCTGGGGACGGCAGCAGCTTTAGTGTACATTCCCTTATTCTGGCTGCTGTCAGTGCCTTCATTCTAGACAAACTTAAGGAAAAAAACATGGGACATTCATACAATACTCAAGGGAAAGTCACAACGTGGTCGGTACACATGGGTAATGAAGTTGACAAAATTGGGCTTCAGGCAGTTATTGAATTTGCTTACAGTGGAGATGTATCAATTTTAAACAGACACACACTAACTCAGATCAAAACTGCAGCTAAAGTAGTGGAGGTCCCACGACTGCTGGATCTCTGCAACAACATAAACGTGACAAAGGAAGATCAATGTCCAAAAACAGAGCAGGGTAAAATCTCTACAGAAGTACATCTGAAGAATACTCTACGATCCATTGAAAGGTTGTTGGAAGACAAAGTTGGGTGTGATGTAATTTTGGAACTGGATGGCATTTCTTTCCATGGTAAGTCAGTAGGATCTTAGCTTATTGTACTGACTACTTTATGATAGCAGCCAAAGTTGACCTTTACTTCTGTCTGACTCAGTTCATAGAATTATCCTGGCTGCAAGCAGCGACTACTTCCGTGGGATGTTCACATGTGGAATGAGGGAATCTCACCAGGCCTGTATCGCTCTTCCTTTTGTACCGGCTTGTGAATTGAAGGCACTAATCGGTTGGTCCTACAGCGGGACTCTTCATCTCAGCTGGGACTGTGTTTTTGAGATAACCTGCACTGCCCTGCAACTTCAGTTTCAACCTGCTTCCTTGCTTTGCCTCAAATTCATGCGAGAAGAAATGCAGATAAACTCGTGTCTAGACGTGGAATCATTCGCTGAAGCATACGGCTTGTCAGAACTCCTCGAGGAAGCCAAAGACTTTATACTGAGGAACTTCAGGGAAGTGTCAGAAACTGCAAAGTTTCAAGACCTTCCAGCACAGAAGCTCCTGGACTTGCTTCGCTGCGACGGTCTGTGCGTGCCTTCAGAGTTGACTGTATTTCGTGCTGTAATCTCCTGGATTCAGGCGGATCCCGAAGAGAGGTTGGCCCATGCTGCTGTACTGATGAGTGGAGTTCGTTTCCCACTCATGACTTTTCGTGAGTTCAGGGAGGTCAGAGCAGTTAATCTACGCATGGAGTGCTTTGCAGACAAAGAAGTGGAACTCTATGGATCCGCTCTCAAAGAATTTGGGTTCAGTCTCCCAAAGTCTGATGAATATTGCCGGATCAGGCGACCTAAAGATGTTCTTTGTGTGGTCGGGGGAGACCAGCTAGATCCAGATGTGGGTAAACGTATACCCAGCCAGGATATCTGGTTTGCCAACTCTTTGCGCAATGGCACAGGATTGGTGAAAGAGATAGAGTGGAGGAGACTAGGTGAGATTCCAGACAAGTCAAAGTTCAGACATGGTGTGGCTGTAATGAATGGGAGGTTGTTTGTAGCTGGTGGGTGTTACTTTTATGCCAAGAATAACATAATGACATCAGCCTACAGGTAAGGAAACAAACCACAGCATTTATTTATATTTCAGACTTAAGTTCTCATCATCCATATCCTTTCTTTTACTCTACATATTATAGCTACGACCCCGTGACAAACACTTGGAAAAGGTTGGCTGACATGCAGGAGCCAAGAAGTAACTTCTCATTGGTGGTGCATGAGGAGCGCCTTTATGCCATTGGTGGAGACAAAGAGATTGACGCCAACACAGACAGCGTTGAGATGTATAAACCAGATAGCAACTCATGGAGGTAATATATTTGTCATTTGCAATTGAATTCCTGAACACAATTTTAAATGTTTAAAACAGGATAAATGGAAATTGGATCAAAGTCTAGCTAAAGAAGATGTTATATCTGACAAATAAAGATGTGCAATGCTGCTTTAATAAGGACACATTATATACTGTATGGTACTTAGGAACGATTACTATATCTTTAAACATAAGACACTGTGTGTGGACGTGACACCATCATAAACACCTGTCATGAACATGAATAAGCCTTCATGAATATTTATGACTGTTGTCATAAAGCGTCATTCGGTAAATTATGACACTTTTAATACAAAGTTGACATTATTCAAAATGTCTTTGTTATGACAACTTGACATTAACCAAGAAATCATTACTGTTTAAACTTTACCTTTAAACTTTACCTAATTTTTAAAGTGCAATCAGTAATACTTTTATAACAAATTTATATCAGTAATGATTTCTTGATTAATGTCAAATTGTCATAACAAAGACATTTTGAATAATGTCAACTTTGTATTAAGTGTCATAATTTACCGAATGAAGCTTTATGACAACAGTCATAAATATTCATGTTCATATTTATGTTCATTAGATGTGTAATGAACATAAACTTTATAAACTCATAAAGTGTATATTCCGATTTTATTAATTGTAAATTAGATGTTGACCTAGAAACAAATCATTTTTAAAAAATGTCTATCTTCTAAAATAGAAACATATTTTTAGAAAGCCATAACAGGGATTAGAAGAATGACTGCTGTACTTTGGGATTATTTGGGTGATTGAAATTACATTTGCACAGAATAATGAATATTGAAATAATGAATATTGAAATGTGATTAATCACAGTTTAATATACACATATTTTTATGTGGAAGATAACATCTAGTTATTTGGGGTAAATTTGCCTATTTATGGATTTTTTTTTTTTTCATGGAGCATCTTAAATATTTTAAGGAAATTGTGACCTGGAAAGCTGAAATACCTTGGAGCAAAGCTGCCTGACTTGCTCTTGGCTGGCACTGGCAAAGTAATCAAGCCAGGAATCATTTTCCTTAGCGATATGTCTAGTTATATAGTTTTCATGAGAGAAAGACGAATGCTAGCAAAAGTCTATCAGTTTGACTGAAAGTAGTTTTTTTTACATGATTTTAGATGTTTATATCATCATTAACTAATGTTTTCTTTTTCCTAGCTTGGTCCACCCTCTGGACCAGGCTCTCAGTGGATATGGAGTCTCTGCCCTAAATGGAGGCATTTTCATCTCTGGAGGTTTTAACTGTAAATATGTGTGCCTGGTCTCCATGGTCCTGTACCACCCGGAGAGAGGAAGTGTCTACCTGGCGGACATGTCCTTCGACCGAGCCCAGCACTGTATGGAAGCGTTGAGAGGACGCCTTTACGTTGCCGGTGGGGTGTGTAACCTGAGGAAGTTCTACACCAACCAGCTAGCCTGTGAGGTGTATGACCCAGTGACAGACTCTTGGGCTGATTTTTCCTCGCTGCCAGTGCCCCATGTTGGTTCTGCCTCGGCTGTCCTGGAGGAGAAGCTCTACGTTCTGGGAGGATACTGCCAGGACGATTACAGCGAGTCGGGACTGGTCCATCGGTTTGACCCCGGCCTCCAGCGGTGGGAGACCATGGGCAAGCTGCCAGGGGCTGTTACTGACATTAAGGCCTGTCTTCTCCACTTGCCCCAGCAATTCAGACACTAACCAGATGGTCATAGCCATAAACCATTACAGAAAATCCAAACTGTCATTTGGACTTGCAAAGTATTCACGCTTTAATAAACAGAACAACACAAAGTAGTGCATAACTGAGAAGTGGAATTGTATGTCTTCAATCTAGCTCATCTCTTTCTACGTGTCTTTTTTACTTTCTATAGCCAAACAAACTGAGAACAGGACGTCTTTCAGCATTTTCTTGCTAGTTTTCTTTTATGACAGTCTGATTTATTGAGTACAGATGTCCTGCTTACATATCATCCGTCTTGAGCTGTGGATATCTGCAGTTTCTCCAGACTTACTGTGAGACACTTCACTGCCTCCCTGCCTGGTGTGTTCACTCATATTTTCTAATGAGGCCTTTACACAACAGGAATTATACTGATATTACCATACACACTTTGCCAATGGGTGATTGCACTTGATTTTATTTAGCTGAATCAGAGTGAGGGGGGGTGAATACACTTTTCAGATTTTCTATACAGACATTTCACAGAGCAGGAAAAAAGAATTCTTAAGTTTTTTTCTGTTTCTTAACATTAATCCAGTAAACACACACTGTTTCTCAAAAACATCTGACTGAATATAAATTTTGGCTTTAGCGTAACCAAAAAAAAAAAATTGCTTCGTTTGTAATTGGACATTAATACACATGTTCTGCAACAAACATGGCTAGTTCTTATGTTTTATGATGAACAACGTGGAAATAAATGGACACGGAGGACGCAGGTTGTGGTATGAAAATGATCATTTTAATGACGTTTACAGGCGAGTACAGAAATCCAGGCAGCACAGGTGAGCAATGAGACAAGGACACGCAGACACTGGGAATACTCACAACGCATCTACGTAGACGCGATGTTGACTATGACAAGGACGCAACAACGAAATACAGACACAGCTGGGATCAATCAAGGGGTAGACAAGACGACACAAGAACTAAATTGACTAAAAAACAGACACAAAAGTTCACATCCTCACATTCTTAGTAGTACCCCAACATTGTTTTGGAGAAAAATACGACTGAGAATAGTTCAATTTTGCATCAACAGTATTTTTAGGACTTTCTCTTCCTGTCAGTTCAGCTAAGTGTCAACAGTGTGACGCCCAACCAGACCATAGTGAGACTAAAGTGCAGATGTGTGTCCATGATAAATAATGCAATGTGTTCAAACACAGGGTTCAGACTAAAAGTTCAAAATTGGCTAGCTTTATAACCAGTTATGAAATTTATATTATTGTGTTTCATGTTTTTGAATCTCAATTTATATTCAACTAATTCTTGAGCCGGTAAGAAACATTTTTATTCAGTCAGAAAACTGTAGATTGGAACAACTGTTTTAGCTGTTAAAAGCAAACGGACTGAGATTATGAGATGTTTTTAGGTCATAGTTTGGAACAAATAAAGTAAAACATAACAAGAACAGTGCCCTGTCGCTGTCTGATGAAGAATGAGGAAGACGAGGTTGGAATGAGGATGGAAAGAGCATAAAAAGGAAAATGTTCATCAGAGATACATAATAAATTCTTCCTGATTCTTTTCTGAGGATAAAAATCTAAAAATAGACTCCATCTGTGGAAAACCTCTCTTGTTTTTTTTTTTTGTTTTTTTATCATTTTCTTTTTTGCAACATGAGGGAAAACTTTGGATTAGTTTCCAAAAGTTACACATTTATTTTATTATTTTTGTGCAAAATATAAACCTCTGAAGGATCCATGAATGACATTTGTTGT